TCGCTCAGCAACGGAGGAAGCGTGGGTGGGGCACGAGGGCCTGTCTGGTTTAGTACCCTGCGGGGGGGCTGAAGCCGCCCCCGCGGGTCGCTGACGATGGGGAGGTGAAGTGGTATGCGCGGTGGGGCCAGTCGTGGCGCCGTGCAAGGCCGCTGAGGTCGGTCGCGTAGAGGGTTGGTGACTCGGTGGGGCGGCATGGTCGGCAGCGTGTGGGTTTTCGTTGGCTGGTCCGTCGTCCAAAGCGTCCGATCCCCCACCGAGGCTGAAAAGGTCATCGTCCTGCTCATCAGCGTCTTGAGAAGGAACGGCGTTGTCATGTGGGTGGGCTGACGCCCTCAATGGCGGAGTCGGGGGCGCCGTGCGGGTGCCCGCCGGGGCAGGGTTGGCGCTGGCTGACTCGTCGCCCAGGAAGTCCAAACCTCCACCAAAGCCGAACGGGTCGTCCTCCTGTTCGTCGAATAAAACCCGTTGGGCCTCGGCCCAGAGCTCGTCGGGGTTTTGTGGGATGTCTGGTCCAGCCGCGGGTGGAGCCTGGTCAGACAGCAGGGGATTTGGTTCCATTTTGTTTAGTTCTGCAGCTGTGAACCCAGCCCTGCGGTGTGGGAGAGGGAGTGTACGATGTCTCCGCTCGTAGATGGCAACGGCGACTCCATGGAGCACGGTCGCTTGGCGATGTCGTGCTTTGGCAGCTTCAACGATGTCGTCTGGAAGGTTATGAGTACGTGCCGCCGCTGTGGCGAGGGCGTCAGCCTGACGTTTGAACTCCTCCGCGATGGGCCCGATGAGCCCGAGGTCGATGCCCGTGTCGCCCTGGTGGCTAGCGACTTTCTCTACGCGGAACATGTTTGGCTTGGCCATGACACATCGGTGGACCTTTTCCCAGAACTCCACGTGCGTGCCCTGCGGAGGTGAGTGTCCGTCGATGATCCTGTGGAAGCCGTCGACCACCGCCTGGTTGTCCACGAAGACGTGTACGGGCCGTTCAGCACATGCCGTGAGGTGGACAATGGCGAGGGTCTCCGCAAGCTGTGCGTTCTGCGTGATGCCGTGAACGCGCGCACTGTAGTTCATACGGTGGTCGATGCCGTAGTAGACGCCGTAGCCCGCTCTTGCAAGCAAAGGGATGGCTTGGTTGGTGCATGCACCGTCCGTGGCCGCGTAGACCCATGTCCAACCAGTGTCGTGGTCGAGGTAAGTGGTGTAGGAGTCCTGGGCTGAAGCCGCAGGATCTCCCTCAGGCGGGGGCCGCGGTATGGGTTGAGGTTGCGGGTCCCTCGCGAGGTCGGCTTGCAGATCGAGGAGGGCTGGGTCCTCATCGAAGAGCCCGCAATGTCTTGTGTGCGGAGGAAGACGGGCCCACTGCTCGTCACTGATGAGGGTGGTGAGAGGGACTCTTTCACGGGCCAGCACTTGCAGTCACGCACAGTGTGCTCCTGAGTTTCCTCTTCCTCATCACAGTAACGGCAAATAGGGCTGGGATCAGCGGACGTATTTGATCGAGAACGTCGCTGTTGGGTGTGGTCCCCGCCCGACAGGTAGTTTATGAGGAGCGCCAGCTGCCATGCGTTGCATTTGGCAGCTCCTTTGGTGCGGGCGAGCCACGTGCTGGCGAAAAGGTCGAGGCCCTGTCTGACCGAAGCAAGGTGACCAAGGTCATGACGCCGTGGCTTGATTTTTCTGAGAATGGCTCTGCGTTGCGAGGCGCGCAGCATGTGAAGGAAGGCGTTTTGGGGAAGGTTCAGCCAACTG